GGCGACACTCCACGGCTTGGTGTTTAGCTCCATGATGTCTGGAATGCGCCAACCAACAGCCTTCCAGCTTGAAAGAGTTTTTTTCCCGACAGCATTTCAAGTTGACGTCATTTTTTAATGATGCAATGCTCCTTGCACCGGTGACACCAGGCACAATACAGGATGGGAAAGGAAGAAGCGGGAAGCTAGCTATGACCTGCAATCCCTGTACGACGAGGTGGTCATATGACCATGGTCACTAGACTGCATGCATGCAGGGTACAGCCGGCCCGGGTGCATGCAGGCCAGGCTGCACTGCAGGATGGATACACGCAGGAATTTAGTGTGTACAGTGCCAGGGTCACCCGGGGTCACCAGGGTGCATGCAGCAAAAGCAAGAGTACATAATGTACTCTTGCTTTCGCTGCATGCACCCGGGTGACCCTGTACACACTAAATTCCTGCGTGTATCTACCCTGCAGTGCAGCCTGGCCTGCACTGTTGCAGGCAGGGTCAAATGGTTTGGTCAAATGGTTTTTCTCCATTCAGTGCTTTTGGGGCAAAACCTGGCCGAAATCCTATTTTTGTTAGGGCTTGCTTTTTGGAGAAATAGACTTCAGAAACATAATTGGAAGAGGATTCCGTAGGGGATTGCAGAAAAAATTCTAAAAAAACTCAAAGTTGTACTCGCATGGTGAGCCAATTGAATTAAGGTAAAAAAGGAGAAGGACAAAATGTTACGAGTTTTGACTACAGTGCGTTTCAAAAATATAGACACATGATTTCAAAAAACAGTTAGGCCAGCATCTATACCACGTAAAATCTGTGATCACTTTGGCATAAAAATTTCGAAATTGGGCGTTTGCTATCCGATTGCTTAAAAATCGATATGAGAGTACTAGTAACTGGGGGAAGGACGTAGACAACTTTCCGTAAGTGGAGTGCAAACTCGCGAATTCACGGGTTTTTCTCGCCCACTAACGTAAAGTTGCTCAACTATACTTACAGTCCATTCATCGGAAACAGTCCCGCTGGCTTTTGAAAGTCGGATTTGGGCTGAATTGAGGATCAAAAACCCACTTTAAATCTCAAAAATCTGGGTTTTGGATGTGCTTCTCCATACATTTTGCCATGGCATACCTGTCCTAATTTTGTAAAACCTGGCTGAATTTCTATTTCCCTGTTCTTGGACTTTTGTGGCCTCAAAAGTGGCAAGGAGTAATTGCAGGGGTCACACAATACAGGATGTACTGTTGTTTTCACGATATCTGCAACTATGGGGGCATTCGTTTTTGATCTACAGGTTTGGGTAGAAACTACTTCTTTCGGTAGAGGTTTTCCTTTTTTGAAAAAAATTCTACTCAAAAGGCAGATTCTACTTTCCTCTACCGGCTCTACCGGGAAAAAGTTGGTAGAATCCGGTAGAAGTTGGTAGAGCTACGGGATTTCCAGCAAGATCAAGGATTTGTACACAACTCCATACAGAGGAGAAACATTTCACGTACATATCGTGTAAACTACTCAATCCGGTAGAATAACGTTCATGCACTTGCCTCTACCATCTACCTCTATTGGTAGAGTGACTCTACTCTACTCTACCAGGTACCTAAAAACGAACGCAGCCTATGTGTGGGAGACACCAAAAGGTTAGGGTGCCAGTTTCCGATGAATGGACTGTAGTGCAGAACCTTTCTATTCCCCGGAATTCCGGGGAATATACAGCGTACACATTCGTACCACCTTTGACCCCCAGGTGTTCTATGTACGCTGGTACACTGCCACTGCACCAGACCCTGCCAAGCAACTCTCAGTGCCTGGTACGGTGGCAGTACTCCAGATTGCCGCTTTTGATTACAATAGTACTGTCAATAGTTCTTCAATTTATTGTCCTAACAGCAAAAATCGATACATGAAAGGCCCACGATGGGGAAGAAGAATGAGCTGGCATCATCACTAAAATTTGAGAAGAATCAGCCACAGAGTATCTGGAACGGATTGACAATATACTTCGAAATGGCATAGATGAACGAACAGTTTCCTTCGTAACTGATAAATAAAATAATGCACCTAAACCTAGAAGGTGAGTTTGAATTCTCAGCTGCATGTGTAAAGCATCACAGTACGCATTAGTAGCACTTACTCCTATCTCTAGTCTAAACTAGTCACGGTAGTTTGGTTCAACGACAGCTCCAAAGCTGCACAGATTCAGCTACATCATGTTACGTCTATTCCACGAGCTTGCGAGCGAACATACTACTTCAAACCCCAAGATGCATTTATCTACTTGAACTATAAACTGTAAGTAAATGTATAAGGAAATCTTATGTAAGATACCGTAAAGTCGCGGATAAAAGCCGGGCTTATAAGCACATAAGCCGCTTTCTGCACCAGGCTTTAATGCAAACCATGCTCATATGCACCACACTTGCATAGAAGCCAGGCTTCTACGCGCGACACGCGTAGATCTACCACTGACTACCGGTATGGCGGCAGTTTTACTATGCTGCACTGTACATAGCACATGCACTCTTGACCTACCCGATCCGCGCTTGCATAGAAGCCAGGCTTCTACGCGCGACAGGCTTATATGCATTTGACCCGTTTGATTTTCAGGCTTCTATCCGCGATGTGCTTGTATGCAAGCCCGGCTTTTATCCGCGACTTTACGGCATCACGAGCTCGTAAGCTTGTGGAATAGACGTTACATGTAGTTGAATCTGTGGAGCTTTGGAGCTGTCGTTGAACCAAACTGCCGTGACTAGTTTAGACTAGAGATAGGAGTAAGTGCTACTAATGCGTACTGTGATGCTTTACACATGCAGCTGAGAATTCAAACTCACCTTCTAGGTTTAGGTGCATTATTTTATTTATCAGTTACGAAGGAAACTGTCTGTTGATCTATGCCATTTCAAAGTATATTGTCAATCAAAAAAAGTATATTGTCAATCCGTTCTAGATACTCTGTGGCTTATTCTTCTCAAATTTTACTGATGATGCCAGTCATTCTTCTTCCCCATCGTGGGCCTTTCATGTATCGATTTTTGCTGTTAGGAAAATAAATTGAATAATAACTATGGACACTACTATTGTATTGCAAGCGCACGTAAGGGTGCGTTTGGTTGGTACGATCTAGAACAGGATCGAACAGCTGGTGCACATGGAGCAGCCTCATGCCAACCAAACGCTACTCCAGAAACAGAGCACATTTTTGTGGAAAAATGTGCCAAACTTGGTGCATTCTTCAAAATGTGTATGGATCGCCATGGTCACTTTGTACGGTACGACGAGTCCAACCTAAAAGCGTATGCACGTGATCATTTGGGAACAAAATCGATGTTCCCGCCAGGTTTCACTGTGAAAAAGTGAAACTGCTCGGTCTGCTCCGGCCTCGAGGCCGGAGCAAGCAGAACATGTTCTGGCCGACCCAGAACAGGTGCAGTCCCAACCAAACGCGCTGTTCTGGTGAATCCTGTTCTAGTTCGTACCAACCAAACGCGCCCTGAGTATTCTTGTTCTGTATTGTGCAAGGGCATGTGGTGTCTGTGGGATTGATCCCATGTGTTCTACGTGCGCTGGAGTACTGCCACTGTACCAGGCACTGCCTTTGCGAATTGCTTGGCAGGGTCTGGTTCAGTGGCAGTGCACCAGCGTGGGGTCAAAGGTGGTACGAATGTGTACGCGGGGAATATTCTCCGGAATTCCGGAGGGAATATCGTGCTATATTCCCGGAAATAACGGCTGGTGATTGGCTGAATCCATGGTTTCCTACCGTACTATGGGATAAAGCCAATAACGCGGAAAATTGCACGGCCGCGGAATCGATGTATCCTATTGGGACAGCACAGTACCCTCAAGTGCAGGGTGCGTGTACAGTCCGGTCATTTGATACTGACACCCTCACTTTTCACTTTACGTCTTAGGGGTTGTACTGCGGCTCCGCGGTAAGTGCCAAAATTGCAGCTTGCAGCGGAGCAGCACGGTTCCACTGACACTTGACATTCGCGGTACCGCGATCGAGCTCGACGTTTTTATTTATTTGTTATTATGACGTTTTACATGCCTGCTTGCGCGAAAATAGAAATTGTCATCGCTCGCACCCTCTATATACCATCGCCTGGAATGCAAGATTATGGAGAAGCTGATAACCTCTGATCTGCCACACTGGCTAGAGAATGTTCGTGAGAACAGCCATCGATTGACTTGTCTCGGATCTTCTTTTTTCTTGTCAAGGATTCGAAAAGGTACGCGCGCGGTAACGCGAAACATAGAAATAACTTGGTGTGGCCTTAGCTGGGACTTTGCTCTGGACATGGAAATTCCGTCGTTATTCGCGAATTGTCGTTATATCCACAGTCGTTATTAGCGAAGTTGAGTGTACGGGAATTATTAAAGGATTCCCCAAAGGTTAAAAGAATATCTGGGGGGGGGGGGGGGGGGTGTCTCCATCACAGAATAATATTGGGGAGGGAGGGGGGGGGGGGGTGTCTCCATCACAGAATAATATTGGGGGGGGGGGGGGGGGTGTCTCCATCACAGAATAATATTGGGGGGGGGGGGGGGCGGTGTCTCCATCACAGAATAATATTGGGGGGGTCTCTATCACAGAATAATACCAAGAGTATACAGCCCCCAAGAGTGTGCAACCCCGGATACCCTTTCTATGGGGTTTGCCAACGGCGAAAACTCACATCACGTGGTGTAGTGCCCCAGTTGTACGCTTCCAGCCCGTTTCTAGCGAGCGGCGGAGTAATCATAAAAGCACTCCCTGGCAGAAACTCACTGCGCGTACGAGGTGATTCGGAATTTTTTAACATTGAGTCATTTCTTAACAAATCGGTAAAATATCTCATTGCCAGCGCCTGCAAAAAGTCACGTCAAATTTCTTTTTGCCATTGCCATTGCCAATGTTCTGTCAAGTTCGCCTCCAAAATTGAGACTGATACTCCTTCAGGAAGTGACATTGCAAGAGCTTTCAGTCTGCATGTGCGCGATGTTTACGGTAAAATAGAGTACAGTCAACTTCGCTTATAACGACACTCGGCGGGGCATCAAAAAGGTGTCCTTATTCGCGAAGTGTCGTTATACCCGAAGTCTCATTATATGTATCACAGTGGGATGGGACTTTGCGCTGGGCATGGAAATTCTGTCGTTATTCACGAATTGTCGTTATATCCGAAGTCGTTATTAGCGAAGTTGACTGTATAAGAGAGTCATAGCCGCTGGTTTCAACCTCCAGTGACAACATATTTGGCTGAAGAGGAAGCATATGTTAGCTACGTACTGGAAACGACGCCTGGGAAGGAGTAATGTTTGTGTGTTGGCCCTGGTAATGGCCAAACATTGGCAATGACTGAATTTGTTAACAGATGTTGATCACAATTGCACATGAAATCAGGGTGATACACCTATTGCTATGCAAGCTTGAATGGCTTGTATTTGGGTGAACATGATCTTGATCCAGTCTTGCTGGACCATCCTGGATACATAGGGTCTCCTTCTATTGAAAACTGACTTGAAATTGTGCTGCTAAGGCCTATTTTACCATGATGTTAAGAAATGACCACAACAAATAATATGAGGAAAAATTGCCATTTTTCAACTGCCACCTGCTTCCCAACACCAAGGATTATGTGAATGAGAAACCCAACATTGCAATCCAAGGACATCAGTATTACATTTTTAGAGGAAGAAATGGAAAGATTCGCACCTCGAACCCTACGGAAGGCTTTTTTACTTTCGTGTTAAATAATGACGAATCACCTCGTATGCAACTTGCCAGCATGATTGTGGGGGGGGGGGTCCTCCATCACAGAATAATACACACTATACTAGGCCTAGGGTCCCTCACGGGTAACTCTGGTGTATGCCGTCAGAGAGGAACCAAGATGATGTGAGTTGGAACGTGCAACAATCGGACGTGATGCCACGATGGAGCGAGATGTCAGGTTGCTGAATGCCAGTGTCCGCTGTCACAATCGTACCAATTGCTGCACGCTCTTCACTCACAGCATCTTGATTCATCGTTATACAGTAAAACCTGGTGTAAGCGACCTCTGGGTTTAGCGACCACCTGCTCTTAACCACCGTTTTCCCATGCACGGTCAGTTCTATACAGACACTGTGGGGCCTGGTTCTAAAGACCACCTGGCTTTAACGACCGCTTTTGCTTGCACCGTGGGGTGGTCGCTTAAACCAGGTTTTACTGTATATTATCTGCTGTGTGTGCATTTTAAAAGGCCGATTCAAACTTCATTTCACGTACAGGCAATGCGTCGCGAAAAAGTTGATCTGAGCTCAACTATATCGCGTACGGGAATGTCATCGCGTGACGGTCGAGCGATGGCTTTCCCGTACACGAAATGAAGTATGAATCGGCCTTTTAATAGGGGTCGTCCACAAATATCGAAGTTTTTTTTCACAAAACGAAATAATTTCGTTATGGGGTGGGAGAGAGTTGACCAATTTCGTTTCAGAAAACATTGATACATGTACACGGCCATAGGAGCAGTGACACACTTGCGACTTTTGCATGTACAGTATTATGAACATATTTTATACTAGTTCTGAGGGGAGGGGGGAGGGAGGGGTTGGGTCCAAACTAAAATAATTCGTTTGGTGAAAAAAGTTCGATATTCACGGACGGCCCCGTACACGGTGCTCACTGATCTTGGTTGAAGGTTCGGCTAGAGTACTAGTAGCAGTAGAGAACGATACGTCATATCCGCAAAGACTGCACACACTACTCTCGATTAGTCTCGCACTTGATCCTGAAGACCATATACACGACGTATCGCTAGTGCGCGACTTACATAAGCCGTACACAGATACGCAAGTACATGCCAGCCCTATTGCAAAAGTGCACGACTCATCGGGAGTGCGTGACTTAAAAGTGCGAGTAGGCAGTACAATGTGCATGACTTATGTAAGCCTCATTTGATAGTTTACACTTACAGGGCATAAACATGAAAGTCTACCGTGCGTCTTCCACCTTGTGCTATGCTGTCGTCATCAGCCTTTGGGTCATCCTAATAAAGTTATTGCTATTTATGACGACTTTATTCACTCCCCTTCGATGGACTTCTCGTGTGCTCTGGATGGCATTCGTGAGTCAGTCAAGTGAGAATTCAAGTCGGCAGGAAAACCGCAAGCTCCCATGTAGGGAGCAACACACTCTTCCCTTACTATCGCCGAAGTCGCACCAACCTCTTCTTCAAATTTATTCACTCCCAAAGCTGAAAATGGAAGCTTGAAAGGAGGCATGAAGTACAGCACCGGGATCCATGGAACCCAAGGGTAGGGAGTTCAGTTCCGGTCACTGAAAAGCGAAAAATGCAGTCACAGCTCGCCTGTACAAAGTGAATGGGCGCCTCGTGGCTGCAGTTCGAGATGCAGTTAGAGGCCCGAGTATCTTCTCCCGCGACCTTTTCGGCCTTGTCGATGCTATTTTTAGGTATCTGACGTCATTACCTTTCCAATGGTGCCACACGTGCCATGCTTCCAAAAATAATGCCTCCGCGCTTGGCGCGGATGCACTTCGAAGTACTAATTTCAACCAAATCCGTACTCGGCCCCGCGAGGAACACCCGAATTTCGTGTTCAGCGGCCTCGAATTAGCCTAAACCAAGAGGATTCTAGAACATTGAGGCTCGCGCTTTATTGCGGTAGAAGGGAAATAATCACAGAAAACAGCCCACGGCGAATTCCTGGTGGTAGACGAAAAAAATCGAGTGAACTGCGCGCACACTGTAGAAGCAGTGACGGTGAAAACGTGTGACTTGTTCAAGTAGGCACGCACGGCATGCGTGCACACTGCATGCATGCACACATCCTGCATCGTCATGTATGCACCAGATAGTGCAGTGCTGGATGGAAACCACACGGCTCACATACATACTTGCATTTACTTCTGTGACTACTTTCTCCCCCGTTTTCCGATCTTCAATCGACTATAACTCTAGATTGCCTAGGAATTTTGGGTTCAAATTTTCACAGGTTGTTTCTCACATCTTCCCGGTTTAGAAAAACTAGCGCTTTATGCAAAACTCGCGAATTTGGTTTTCGATTGAAGTCCCTACCAAGGGTGAAGCACCAATCATTATTATTATGGACTTGGCTTTATTTCACTCACGTTGTCATGACATATTATTATCATACCCAATGTACATGACTGTACTGTGTTTGAAAGAATATCATACGCAAGTGCACGTACTTCTACAGTTCTGGGAGCACTTCAGTTCTCCGTGGGCGTCTACAAAACATTGGCTTTCTTTCATGAAAAAATTTAGCCTTATATAAGTTATAACAAGTAAGGTTAGCTATAAGAAAACTTGCATGGATCTACACACAGATTTCTACGGCGCCGTAGTTCTCTTGAATGACACGGAATGGACGGAAACCAATTGAAAGATTACCTTCGATTTGTAGGAGAAAAGAGAACTTGGGCAGACACACCTACTCAAGATTTCTATAAACTTTGATTTACCTTGAAATTCTTTTCCATGCGTCCCTGTGCCACGAAGCTCCAGGATTCGACGTCTGCTTCTTCTTTCGGTTGGGTTACTCTCTTCCAAACAAACGGGACGCAGTTGGTGCTAGTACCGGTACTACAAACTATCCCTCATAACCTGCAAGAACGGTGTTTCAAGCCAAACGGCCATAAACTCAGACGACAAAGTCGAACATGTGCACACTAGAAGCTTCTTCTTCCCGCAATTCTCAGTTGGACGCTACATGCATCGGCCTCGCGTGATACAATTGGAACCAAGGAGTACTCCAAGATTGAAACCACGGCGCGGATATTTCTACCGGATGCTTCCTTTTCGACAACTTTCACTCCTAGATTCCTTTTTTTCTCTCCCCACGTTCTTCAAAAGTGCTTCCAAACACGCGATCGATCCGGAGCAAAGTCCAAAATGACGCATGCAAGTATGCACGTGTACACGTGCGCGTCCGCTTTCGTAGCATTCCGTACCGTACGGCCGTGTCCATTTGGCGAAGATCTCGACTTCACCAAATAAAAACCGCGCGAAGCATTTTGAGATCTTGTAGTTGTACGACCGGGTATACCGTGTATTCGGCTCTGCAGCGCGCGAAGGATGTTTACAACCAAAAAAGTAGTTGTCAGCAACAATTTTTACATGATACGAGTTCAATCGTACAGTCCTACGAGTCGTACCGAGTCGTAATCAGCTTCGAGGAGTACAATGTGCAGGAAAATACTGACTACAGTGGGGTATGGTTGTGCCCTATACCAAGAGGGGTTATGTACTCTTGCCTATACTTATCGACTCCCCTCGATCGTAGGCTCGTACCCTCCTCCCAGTACGAGTCGTAGGAGTGTTGAGCCTAGCCCGTGCCTTCGACAGTACAGAGCCGACAGACCAGTTTAGCTGCTACGAGTAGATCAGACTATACTACTACAATAGCAAGAGTCCATAACCCTGGGTTATGGACTCTTGACAATAGTTATTACATCATTCTTCTACCCGGCGGGGTACTGTAGATCAGATTCTACTCTATGCCCTTGCTGGCTGACATGTACCAAAATGCATTAGCTATCCAGTCCAGCAAGTGGACCGGAGGTTGACCCTCGCTTGGCAGGTCTAGACCGAGGCCTAGTCTCCTGACGGATTCACCACGGGAAGGTGAGGGTCGCCGAATCCTACAGTTGATGATGCTGCCCACCTCCTGCTAGCTTGCCCTCCCAGACACAGCAGTCGAGCAGGTACACGTCTATGTACCTTCACATCAGTCAGGGAGGCAATTCTCACACAACCATCAGAAGCTATCCAGTTCTTGCAACTGGAGAAACTGATCTAAGTTTCTACTACATGTACACTGTACTCTCACAGTCATTTTCATATTTATTATGACTTGTAGTTACCGAAGAAGAAGAAGAAGAAGAAAATGCATTACCTCCTACCCACACCAGTCACACATCAGTCCGCGCTAACATTGCACTGCTAGCCCTGTCACTACCTCTACTACCAAGAATACATATAACCCAGGGTTATGTACTCTTGCTACTACTACTAGCCCCCTGCCTTCAACAACCACACACTCTGCACGCAGCCTCCTGCCTAAAATAACACCGCTAGCCCTGAAACCTATACTAGGCTATAGTCCCCACATTCTCACACAGCTTTTCATACAGCGCTACAACTTACAAGACCCATCCTCGGCTGGCATTATTATACCTGCATGGTCGGCACCCCCACCTCATCATGCCTGATGATTGCGAGAGCATGAAACTTGAAGTACATGTAGCAGCAAACAAGCCTTGATTGTCCTTGTTGTCCTAGATCATGTACCAAAATGGTAAAATGGTATCTTACGACTCCCTGAGTAGCACCAAGAGTACTCTTGGCAACTTTGAGTCTTGGTAGCACTAATAATATAGCTCATTGTCATTGGCCTGCCTCTACGGGCGACTAGACTACGGCTCGACTATACACCGGTGGCTTACTCAATATCTGGGCAGCTGTAGCTGTTTCGGCCTAAGTCCGTGTTAGGACTTAGGTCAGACCGTCTCATCACAGCGGAGCTCAGAACCACTGGCCTGACCGACCGCAATGAAGTCTACAATTCAGTTGTAGTGAACAACAAAGCATTCCTAGATGGCGTTCGGATTGCCACTCTTGGACTTTTCGGGGAGTTTCGTTTCCTGAAGCAGTGACGAGGTGGGTATTCTGAAATCGAAAGTCTCTTCGAAACTCCACAACGTCGTCCACGCGTTCGAATAGTCCTCCCTCAAGCTTTCGAGAAACATCTTAGAAGAGATTAGTTGAGGTCTTCCGGTTGCTGTCTGTTGTGATCTCAGGCGAACTCATCAGTGACTTTTTAAGTAAAGCTAGAGTGAAGTCAACCACAACACACACAATAGCTTCAGACAATCATGAGTCATGACAGGCATGAATCATTGTCAGCCTCACCATCTTCACTGTGATCAGGTGATGGAATCGTCATGGCAAGAGTTCATAACCCCAAGAGTGTGCAACTGCCTGGTTATACTCTTGATCATGGTCATAGCAGGAGTATTACAGTGAAACCTGTGACTAACGACCGCCTTTTGGGGCCAGAGAAAGCGGTCTAGTGGCAGGTGGTCCTTAGTTAGAGGTTTGCACCGCCCAACCATTATATGAATGTGAGACTGTCCGTGCCTGGCGAAGTGGTCTTTAGTACCAGGCTGGTCGCTAGTCACGGTGGTGGTGTTTACAGTCCATTTCAAAACTATAGACGCGTACCTAGGCAAAAACCGTTATGCCAGCATCTATACCACATAGAATCTGTGATCACTTTGTGCATAAATTTTTTCCAAATTGGGCGTCTGTTATCCAATCCTTTAGAAACTATATGAGAGTAATTGTGGAGCGATTCTGAGCAATATTCCGAAAACTATTCTCAAAAGGTTCCAGCCAAATTTGAAATATTTCAAAAACCCTACGCGTCTATAGTTTTGAAATGCACTGTAGGAGTACAGTACTTACTGAACATGTGTACCGGTACGCGGTGCTCTTGGTCATAGCAATGATATTTTCTTAGCGGATCTCCAAGTGAAGATCGCCCCCCCCCCCCCATACCGTGTGTATGTGTGGAGGTTGATCGTGTCGTAGTTTCCCCGGGATATGCGTACAAATGGTTGTTTTCACGGGGAATATTCCAAGTTTACACTCTACAGTATTGTGTACAGTACGGTACTCACATTGACGCCAGAAAGAGTGCCCAGCCAAGCCGAGGAGGTGAATATCTGGACGTGACAGCTGGCTAGGGTCCAGCGGATAATGCTCCGAAAATGCTCGTATAATGCTAACCATAATGCTCCAAAAACTGCCTTATAATGCTGATTATAATGCTCCAGCAAGGGATATAATGCTCTTGGTTTGGGACAAAAATGGAAGAAAGTCTGCACAAAGTGCACATTGTCAAACTTCCAGGAAATTATGCATATCGTCGATCTGCATCTGAAGTTGCCACCTTTTCTCTCACGAGCTCCACTACTTCTTAGCACTATGAGACATGATCGCTTCTCCATTGATTGCTCTCCATTCCAACTATGATGCAGGGTTGTGGCAGAATAGTTGATGTATCAAATCCCTCCCCTAATTATCCATGTAGTGAGAGATGAAACCATTATTGCAGGTAGTCATTCATTGTTGGGATGAAGTTGATATTGGCAAATAGTATTCCTGCCTGCAGACAACCTGTCACTGCACCCACTCTATGAATAATGTCTTCATCTGAAACACCAGACGTGAGGCCCGCTCCTGAGATCCGATCTCAGATGGAGAGCCCTCCCATTTGCAGAAATCCTGAAAACACGTGGTCAGAAGTTATTTTGCCACTCTACATCCTTTGCTTGTGCTCTCATCTTCTCCTTGAGATGGTGTGTAGACCGGTATAGCTTGCCACAATACTATTCCTTTCTGATAGCATTTGACTGTAGGCCTGGCATTACAACCGTCCACAACTAACTGTACGTGCTTCATCAGGAAAGTAGGACAGGCGCTGCTGAGCAATCGACTTGGTCACTGAGTCCATGAGAAATTCTAGTTCTTTTCGAGCCTCCTGAGCTGGACTCGGCAAAGGCAGTTCTTTTGGAACGAGCTCTTTCTGTTTATAGCCGCTCCTTCATCCTGGTCCAAAAATAGCAATGCATCAGTGTCTACTTCAGTATCGCTAGAGATGCTATCGCCAGAGCCTCTGGCACAACTAGAAAACTCTTCTTCGTCTGTTTGATATTCACTTCGCGTACCGGTATGTCTCCTCCATAGCTCTCCATTATTCTAAAAGTAAAAGAAACCTCGTATTAGTCGTAAATAATTTCTCCGGGTTTGTGTCACTTGAACTGCCTCGGCCTCGGTTGGGCATGCTTCACAAATGGCTTGTATACATTTACCATGATTTACCGGACCACATCGCTACAATCATAACGTTTTTATGTAGCAATAGTTATGTAGCGTTAGTGCTAAATGTGTTACGTGTCTACACAATCACAACGTCATGCGCCGGTACAATGCATAGTGCTCAAATGCCCGGAATGGGCGGAGCGTAGTACGCAAGAGGTAGACATAAGGAGTAAAATAGGGCTGTTTCGGTGTTACTCGGAGTTTCATGGCAAAACCAATCATCAGACAACACCTCATGATCATGATTGTAGCCGATTGTTGCCAAAAACCTAGGATTTCCAGATATTGTCCACTATGAAACTCGTTATGCCGCTCAAACCTCACATAATGCTCGTTTTGTTCCTTTCTAATGCTCCATAATGCTCTGATGCTCGGAAAGTCGTATAATGCCGAATATAATGCCGGCATTATCCGCTGGACCCTACAGCTGGCTGTTTCGACATACAGTGAAACCTGTCTAAGACGACCGCTCAAGGGACCTTCAAAGCGTGGTCTCTGTTACCAGGTGGTCTCCTTATCCAGGGTCATTTGACTGGAAATAGCATCCCTTGATCCTGGTTTCAGCGGTCTTCTTGGACAGGTGGTCGCCTTATCCGAGTGGTCGCCTTGACGGGTTTTTACTGTACATGTTGTTGGTCCTCTACTGAGTACTCTGGCCTTGGTCTCATCAGAGGAGCTCAGAACCTCAGTTACCTGGTGTGTCAATGTTTGCTGCTTTTGAACAGCTCCCTGTGACGGTCACAACTCGGATACAAGACTGACAAACAGACGAAGTTGTTGTTCAATTTCAATGATTTAAATTTCTTTTTAAATCCAACATTTCACACTCACTTTGCGCACTTTCTCTCGCATCCTTAACTATGCTACTAGTACATACACAAATAGGAGATCCCCCAGATAGGCGTTAGCCTTTGGGTAATC